TTTTTCTTTCATAATTTTCTTATTCCTAGTTATGGCCTTTTCTTTTCTGCTTGAAGAAGTCCCTTTAACATTTCTTTTAAGGCCAGTTGAGTAGTGATGAACTTTAACTTTTGTTTGTACAGTAAACTCTTTATCTCTCCTTCAATTCTGGATGATACCCTTGCTAGGTATTCTTGGATGTAGGTTTTTTTCCTTTTAGCACTTTTAATAAATCATGCCACTCCCTTCTGGCCTGCAGTGTTTGCGTTGAAAAATCAGCTGATAGCTTTTAGGGCATTCCCTTTATGTAACTAGTTGCTTTTCTTTTGCTGTTTAAGAGTCTTTCTTTAATTTTTGACATTTTCATTATTATGTGTCTTGGTGTAGACTGCTTTAGGTTCATCTTGTTTGGGGCTCTCTGTACTTCCTGGACCTGGAAGTCTATTTCCTTTCTCTGGTTGGGGAGGTTTTAGTTATTATTTCTTCAGATAACTTTTCTGCCACTTTCTCTCTTTTCCTTCCAGGACCCCTATAATGCAATGTTAGTATGCTTGATGTCTCAGAGGTCACTTAAGGTATCCTCATTTTTAAGAATTTCTTTTTTCCACCATGTTTTGAATGTTCTGATTTCTACTACCTTGTCTTCTAGATTGTTGATCTGCATCCTCTAATCTGCTGTTGATTCCCTCTCATGTATTTTTCATTTCAGTTATGTTCTTCAGCTCTGATTGGTTCCTTTATATACTTTCTATCTCTTTGTTGAAGTTCTCACTGAGTTCATCCTCTCTTTCCCCAAGTTTGGTTCACATCTTTACTTTGAACTTTTTTTTTTCAATGTTCATCTATTTAGTTCTGCTTTCTGAAGTTTTGTCTTGTTCTTTTTGTTTGGAACATGTTCCTCTATCTTCTTATTTTGACTCCTTGTGGTCAGCATAGTCTCCCAAAGATAGTGGTCTTATGTAGGTGTCCTTTGGGGCCCAGTAGCATAATCCCTACTAGTCACTAGACGTGCAGGATGCCCCCTATACGGGCTGTGCATCCTCTTGTGACTGGGCCATGACTCCTGCAGATGTGCTGGTAGGCAGGGCTGGCTGAGAGGCCTGGCCAAAACTGTTGTGGACATGTTGGTGGGTGGCACCCCAGGGCAGAAGCTGCTTTGCAGGGGTGCCTCCTAGAGTGGGCAGATTGGATGGGTCTGCAGAGAGTGCTGGGGCAGGGTGAGTGGTAATAAGGTAGATAGAGAGTGTCAGAACTGGTGCCCACAAGCACTGGTGTCAGACCAGCTAGGCTGAAAGAGGGCAAGGAAATGGTGCCTGCCAGCAATTCTGGTTATGAAGTTCCTACAGATACCTATCCCTCCAAAACGTGCTCTAAAGTCATTCAGTAAATCTCCTTTATGTATGGCCCAAGCACTTTCCAAACTGCTGCCTCTGTGTGGATCTTGAAGCGTGCAAGAATATGGGTGAACCCTTTGAGAACAGTGTTTCCTATAGCCCTCTGGCTCCCCTGGAATTAAGCCGGTTTTCAAAGCCAGACTCTATGGCTGCTTATCTTATGAGTGAAGATCCCCAGAGTCGGGGGTATCCAATGTGGTGCTTGGATCCCTTGCTCCTCAGGAAGGACCTCTGCACCTGCAGTATCCCTATTTGGGTCACCACCACTAGGTACTTTTCAAACTTTTTGTGTGTGTGTGTGTCCCAGGTTGAACAAGACCGCAGGCTAGCCCTTCAAGAAAGGAATGTTTCTTGTAGCATTTTGGGACCTCAGGACGTTAGCCCTATTAGTTTTCCAAGCAAGATGTTCAGGCAGTTTGTCTCCAGTGGACATCCAGAGGCTGGGATGCCTGGCATGGTGCACCAATCCCTCACTTCCCAGAATTGCCTCCAATTATTGTGTTACCATGCCCAGGGTGGGGTGTTTTGCAAGATGTCTCTGCCTCTTCTGTCTTGATGTGGTCATTTTATCCTTTGTTGTAGAGAACAGTTCATCTTGTTTCCAGACGTCTTTCAGAGGGAAATGATCCATATGTAGCAGTAGATCTGGAAACCCCCTTTCTCCTGTTCTTCCTTTTCAACTGTTTTGGTGGTCCTTAATATTGGGTAAGAATTTCAGGATGGGTTTTTCTATTTCCACACACAAAAAATGTTGCTGGGGTTTTGATAGGGATTGCATTAAACCTGTAGATTACTTTGGGAAGTATTTACATCTTAACAACATTGTCTTCTAACCCATGAATGTGGGATGTTATTTCATTTACTGATTTCTTAATTTCTTTCAGCACTGTTTAAGTTTTCAGTATATAAGTCTTTTGCCTCCATGGTTAAGTTTATTTCTAAGTATTCTTTTTGATGCTATTGTAAATGGAATTTTTTTTTTAACTTTTTTGGATTGTCCATTATCATAGAAATTTATTTTCGTGTGGTTTTGTATCCTGCAACTTTGCTGAATTTGCTCTTTAGTTCTAACTTTTTTGTGAACTAGTTTGGTTTTTAAACACAGAAAACATGTGGCAGGATAAATTCATCCCCATCTTGTTCAAGTTATTAAATTTTTTACAAGGTATGCCTAAAAGGTGGCAAATTTTTTAGAAGAAACATCAATGTCAAGATCAATATATACAACTTAAGAATTGTTGCCCAAATATTATCAAATACCCTGCCCCAGGTATGCAAAATATCCAACTATTTTTTGTCAACTCCTAAACATATACAAATTAAAATCCTACTTATAAAAAAAAAACTCAAGTTTTCCCGAATAAGACAGGTTTGACTTTCAGGCTCATATTGTGATATTTGAATATATGAGGATATCTGTCTAGAGATCACATGCATATTTTTATTTCAGTAAACTTTGAGTATTGTAGGGCATTGTTTAGAGTTTTGACTCTAGAATTTGATATATCTAGATTAGAATCCTGGTTCTCCTACCAATCAGTTATGTGACTTATATCAACTTCTCTAAACCATTTTTTGTTCCTCTTTGAAAGTGGGATTATAGTATCTTCCCCACTGGGCTGAGTTGAAGGAGGTAATTCTGTATTCAACAGTAAGTATTCAAGTGTTAGTTATTATGATCATAAGTAGACTTCATGTTGGGCATTATGCTAAATGTTGGAGATAAGAGATGTGTGACACACCGTCTGCCATCAAAGTGCTCATTATTTATATGGTTAAAGTATAAAGAAAATAAAATCATCTTAATATTGCACTTTAGTGAAAATATGTGCAAAGGAATGGACACTTGAAACAGTAAGGTATCTTGGAGATAAATGTAGGGCTGACATGCTCAGATAAGAAATTTAGATGTTTGGCTACTGTGTAGAAGATGGATTAGGGGAAATGATTCATAGGCAAGATCAGTAAGGAGGCTATGATAACCCAAGAAAAATATACGTGGCAGAGCAATACAGGTTGAACTAGAGAGCGGCTGGGTAGAATAGAGCCTTGCTGTGCCCAGAACAATGAGCTCCTTTTCCCATGGCTTGGGAGGTATCACAGTTTAGCCATTTTTCATCTTTACCTTAATCATTTAGGGATCTATTTGACTCAGGGACCATTTTACAGAAAACAGGCTGAGAGAGCAAGGTCACTATTACACTATTACAGGAGCACTATTCACACTGTATTCTATGAAAATGATGCCCTGGAACACAGTATGAATGGTGGCCCCTAGAGTTGTGCCCTGCAGCACCCCTGCTGGAAAAGTTATAGCATTGTAATTATGGAGCTGATCTCTATGCAAAAATCTGTGCATTTCTTACTGTACCATACTGTATCTAACCATGGTATCTTACTTATGGATATATAGTATACTTAAACACTGAATTAAAGAAACAAATCAAACACATCCCAATATGGGTTTTCATAAGAACTTAGTACACTTTTTAATGGAATCCTATAAACACTACTTAACAAATCAAGGTGCTCAACATATTTTCAAACCATTACTTAATAGGAAAGATAAGGACAAAACAAATTTAAGGCACCATTTACTTTGGGCTTCCCCCAAACAGGTAAATCACCTTTACAAAAAAAGAAAGTACTAGCCATAAAAATTAAGCCCATGAGCAAATTTTCTGTAGACGTTTCTTGAATTATCCCCAAATTTTAAGGTGAATTTCCCTAGAAAGTCCTTCTATATAGTTATTTTGGCAATAAATACATCACCTTAGTAAAATGTACCTATTTAATAACTACTTCATATATTTAAAAAACTATGTAATTCATACTTTTGTCAAAAACACAACAATTTACAGAAGTTTCATCCATACTCTTACCTATGCCTACTCACTCTTAAGGCAGGAACATTTTTTTTGGTTGAGTTAGGATCTCAATATGCTTTGTCTAGGAAAGGAGAAGGTATAAAAATTTAAAACAGAAAATTGCTCATTGCACACGAGCAGCCAACCATTGCAAGTTGTTGTCAATAGGATAAAATATTGACCAGAGCTCCTGTGTGAGTAGTTAGAAAGTGATTTAAAGGGAAAAACAGTAAGTATATGCACACAATAAAGTTTTATGGTATTGATAAAAACAGACATGTCTCAGAAGATGATAAAACCATTTCCTTGAGAATTTTCAGAAATGAGAATAACAGAACTGCAGGAGTAGAAGAAATGTTAAGATTTAAGAACATCTCATTTGGCCAATAATGAATTTTAGAGTACTTAAGATGATCTGCCCAAGATAACATAGTTAATGCCAGAGTCTGGCCTAAGACCCAAATCTCCAGACTTCCAGGTAAGTGCTCTTTTCTTCATTTGCTAAACTACCTATCTCTTATATGTCCCTGACCACTTGAAGTTCCCCTAATTCTGATCCACACTATGCTCCTTGGTAAAGTCAGAGAGGGACAGAATTCTGGACTTTGTAGACTGTTTAGAGCTACTGATCTTACAGTGGATGAAACATTCTTCAAATAACAAATAGAGTGAAATTCATTTGGAGGTGGGGAGTATATAAGAAATACAAAAGAAGTAATTTCTGTAGACAATAAGAAAAACACAATAGAAAATACCCTACTTTGTTATTTTATTACCTTTATTTTATTTTGCAGTTAAGTCCATATATTATATAAAACATAACAGGAAAAACGAACAAATTTATAAAATAAATTGAGGTGTCTAGAAGAAAAAAACACAAGCGCTTTGCCTTCATGTCTATAGATCTCTTGATATGTTGCTGGTTTTGCACTTTAGATATCAAATGAAGATATCAAGCTTGAAACAAAAGTTGATATGCTGTAAGGTTAAGCCACAGTTAGTTTGATGGGCCAGGAAATGATAGGTTTTCTAAATCTTATCCTTAAATATTGGCTATAACAAATGCTGATATAGCAAAATGCAAGCTTTCACCATCAGACAGCAAGAGGAAAACTTGAAAGAACATATGCAACTTACCTCCAAGTCCTCTGAAAGGAGGTGAAAAAATAAGTAGTGTTTTACCAGTTTTCCCCCAAAAGCATTACTCTAGGCATGCAGGAGGATGCTGTGAGCAGCTTTAATAGTAAGACCTAATCCAGAGGTAGGTTCAAGGCCAAGAGTAGGAGAGTAGTTGAAGAAATCCTCCTAAGGCCAGTACCATTTCACAGAATGCCCATTTGTGCTGTGGGATGAGTCTATGGCCTATTTTTTTTCTGATTCAGAAGGACATTCCCAATTTCAACCTTGTTGAAAAAGAGGCATTTTTACACCTGCTATTAAGAACAGCTAGGATAAAGGATAAGGCTGGCATAAAATTATTTAGCAAGCACATGCTAGCTATTCCAGTTTGAAATCTACCAAGCTATAAAATCAAGGGGGAAATAAAAGGTTGAAGATGAAGCTGTTTTTCCTCAAGAAGAATTGCAAAAGAGGGATTGGGCACTCACTAAACTCTATGGAGAACATCCGTCTCAGACTAGGTGGAAGATGAGGAACAGCATTACCACAGGCTGACCAAGCCATTTGGAGACCAAGAGGAGAGGGAAAGAGGCATTTAGGAAGAGAGCTAGTAGAAGAAATATACATTATGCCAGCATGAAGCTGGTGACAAAATACCTCAAGATATTTTAAACCCAGAGAAATGAAGGAAAAAATGTTAACCGAGCAAATTAAAACTAAACTTCCAATGGTAAAAGCTCCTCAGATTTGAAATCCAAGATACTCACTTTTCATTAATTCTGCGCATTGTTAGAAAAAAATAAAAAGTAACAAATGGAAAGATTTATTTTATTTCTACTGGGGAAAGGAGCAGGATAAATAGAACTGTTTTCCAATTTGCTCTCCACTGTATACACACATACCCACACGCATATAAACACATACACACACCAAAATATTCCCCCCCAAAAAAGAATCAAAAACCAAAATACCCTAAAACTGCACCAATACTTCATATTTTGACCAAAAGAACAGATCTTGGGAGTAAGTGCAAAATGCAAAATAAATGACTGAAAAATGCTGAACAAACAGCATCATTAATATACAAAATATTTATATTACTGAACTAGTAACAGTTGATGTTCTCCATGTCTGTAAAACTTTGGAACCACATAGCTGATTTGTTAAATCTAGTCCATGCCTGCTTCCAAAAACCAGAAAATATTTTAGTTAGCTTCATTCTTTGAGTTCTCATCAAAATTTTCTACAAGATCTGAAAAAGAAAAGTAAATTAGTTAAAAATATAAAAAAAAATACACAAAATTCCTAACTTCTAACCCCAATAAAAATCAAATTGTTGCTACTAGAATTAGACTGAAAACATATAGGGCAAGAAGCAGAAGTGAACTGGTGACATTTAACCATAACACTTCATTTATTTGCTTAAAACAGGAAACCTAAGGAAATAATTGTCGGGTTTTTTTGTCTATGCAAACTAAGGTGATCGGCATTTTCCCATGTCAATCATAATTCCTACAGAAATGTTATAACAATAACTATGCAAGTTTATAAGCACGTGATTCTAATTTAATAAATGCAGGCTGCACAACTTTGAGTTTCTGATTTTACATTTTAAATGGGATGGCTTTTATTCTTTTTCACTAGATCATCTCCATATCACTGAGAATCAATTTAATTCACTAGCTCACCATCAACAAAAAACTGAAAGTTATTATGCAATGGATTAAATGGAATAAATAGGATGCTAAAAAATCTTAAAGCCAAAGAAAAGTCACTTATACCTGGAACATCATCATCTTCTTCATCAATGTCTTCTGGCTTCGGTGCTTTGCTATCCAAAACTACAAAAAGTTTATTTTAAAATTACTGAGAACAAAGACCTTTACATAACACTTAGAATGTTTACCCTTTTTCCCTGTCTGAATCTTACACAATTATTCAGAAAAAGCTAAATATTGTCTAATTTAATGCCATACTTTTTTAATACTAAAATCAATAAAACTTTAACTTAGCTAAATATACACTAAATACAGCTGGCAATTTCAGTGGGCAGTAAAGATAAAATTTATACACAAAATGGAATAATTTAGATGTATCTGAATAAAAAGAAGTAATAATTTATTCTCTAAATTCCATACACTCCACATCAAAAATCAGTATTCATGATTTTTTCCATCTTCTTTGGTGTAAGAAAGTACCTAGCTATACAGTATGAGCACTGAAAAAATAGGCTGATTTATAGGGGTAACTAGACCCATTTTAAACTACAGGACTATTTTGGAAACTCAGGACTTATGATTGGTGCCTCTATAGTACGATCAACATCAAACAAAAATATAGTTCTGTGATAACACTATCTTGTCATTTGTCAGAAGTGAATATCAAGTTAACTGTTGATAAAATGTGACCTGCAGATCCTGACACTTTATTTTTAGGTAATTACCTCTCAAATCCTCTATATTAGACTAAAATGTATCTGAATATTCTATATGCTACACTGCATAATTATTAAAGAAATAAACTAAAAGATTTATGAAACATATAAATAACATCATAAAAAGTACAATTTATATACAGGCAAATTCTTCTAGTATAAAACGGAACACCTTTTAAGTTATTAGGTTCTTTAATTAAGGTAGGGAGAGAAGAGGTACTAAATTGAAATACATACCTTGCCGAGGGAACTGTTCAGCTAACTTCCTAAGACTTGTTAAGCTATCAGCACCAAGTTGACTTAATATTCCAGGAAGCATTTCTGTGATTGGTTTTGCTTCTGCATGGCCAGTAATTGCAAAGGTATTAGCAGAAAGGGAAGCCTGGACTTTGGGATTGTTGAAATGAATAACTGTCCCATCATCTTTAATCATGTTCACCTGTATGATCATGGAAGAAAAATGTACTTCACATATATGGTGCAAATAAAACAATATGTTTAAAAAACAATTTAGCCAATTAGGTTTTTTTTACTTGGTAGTTATGCAATCCCAGGGTAGTAATTATCTAAAACTAAGCAGTGGGTATGCATGGGAAAAAATGCTAGCAACAAAGTGGTGGAGATGGCACACATGACTAGAATGGTCAAGAAACAGTCATTTTATTATAGAATCTAGATTTTAAATTCAAAGACTTTTATGAGAAAGAAGTTTAATACCCACATTAAAAAAAATCGAATTAGCAGCCAACAACTGGCTTCTAAATGAAATTACCTATTATTTTATTCAATTTACACTATTAAATTAAATCAGTACAGACACTATTTGGTAGGGGACCTTACTTAGGGGACAGGCTCTAAGGTGGTAATAGTGTACTGCAGTAAAAATAACCACTGAAAATCTATAAAGAACACTCATAAATTTAATCAGCCAGGTGTTTCACTCCTTTAAACATTTATTACAGTTTAAAAAATTTCAGCCTGTTCTCATCATGCCATTCTTTGTAGAGGATTTTGTCAGTTCCTCTAATTCTTAAGTGTAGCTTCTCAACAATCAGTAACATTTGTAAATGTCAACATATCTCTCCCAACCCACTTGCCCTACTACTTGAATGTGCTTTATCAATTACTGAAAAGTCTTTAAAACCATCTTCACATTCTTTTGATAGCATTTACCAAATTGAATTAACTGTTTCAGATTTGATTTCATCCATTACTGAAAAGGAAAGTTGAACATAAGTTTTTAAAAAAAGTACTTTTCTTTCTCAGTCATATACTTTGTCTCTGTGTTTTAGTAGAGTTGAATCTGAGTAAGTTAAATGTGCAAATAATGTGATTCCACTATGTAGCTGATTCCACTGTGTAAGGTGATGGTAACATGCTTACTATATAAAAAGTTTAGGGGAGTTAATCTTGTCTACTTTGGAAGTATTTCATTGATCCATCCAAAAACTGCCCTTGTCACAATCAAGCAGAGATGCTGAGTGTTCTCCATAGTCAGTGCAAGTGGGCTTTTTCTTCCTTAGAAGTGATTACCACCACTGATTATCACCAGAAAAGGGAATGGAGAGGGGCTTCTAAATTTCAGGCAAGACCTGAAATACAGACAAAAAATAAAAGGCACATCCCCTGGAAAATTATATCTAAACACTACAAATAATTTCCCAAATTTGGGGGAATCACTATTTCACAATTCTATATCACTATTTCACAAAAATCACTATTTCAATTCTATACCCTTCTCTCTCTCAGTATTGTAACCTTAATATATTATACCCAGATAGAGATTGGATTAAAGATGGCGGCATGAGAGATGAGACAGAGATCTCCTCCTAAAACCACATATAAGAAAATATAATTTAATACACTAATCCTGAAAGAGCAACAAGAAAGAAGGCTGTACCAGACTGCATACACCTGGAGAAAAGAGCAAACCTAACGGAACAGGGTAATATACCAAAGCTGTGACCCGGTGAGGCCCAATCCCTTCCCCAACCCCAGCTCACCAGTGGCAGGAAGACAAACAGAGTTGGGAGGGAGTGGAGGCCTGGGACTGCTGAACACCTAGCCCTGGAGAAATGCTCTGGGAGCATGAACCTACATTGCAAGGTGCTCTGGTGATTTAGTGAGGTTGGAAAGCTAAGACAGGAGGAATACCTGGAGAGATGGAGATTGCAGCTGCTTGTGGAAAACAGGGATTCATATTCGGCTGATCTGGGTAGGCAGTCTGAGAGACTTCCTAAAAGTGAGAGGGCTGCTAAAGGGGCAAGGATTGCACAGACCTTACTGCTCAGGAGAAAGGGCAGGTAGACAAAATTGTCCAGGTGCACTCTGCTCAGTAGATTGGGAGCTTAAACGATCTTCAGGTGCTCCATCCCCCTGGCTCGCTATGCAGCTCCAAGGCCCCCCACAATGATACGCAGCTTGCTGTGTCTTCCTCCCAGCTAGCCCGCACCTGGCTCAGGCTTACAAACCAGCAACCCCTGGCGTGGCGTCAGGCCAGCCAGAGAGAGGCCCCACCTATGGCAGCTACAAAAACAAAGCACAGAGGCTTACTTACACCTGTGTGTTCAGCCCACTGGTTCTGGCAGTAGAGACAGGAATAGCAGCTGAGAAGCAGGAAATAGCTTTTTCCTCCCTCCAAGCATCAACACCGCTCCCCTATAACCCCCGACATTGCTCCAGGGGCTGAGCAGCTCCAGAGAGTAGAGCTTCTGGGCACTAGAGGGCACCACGAATTATGAAACGTCAAAGGAACCTGGTTCAAAGCAAAATTATGAATACATCTGAGAAAGATTCAAATGAAATCGACCTCTTGACTCTTCCCGAAAGAGAGTTCAAAATAAAAATAATTAACATGCTCATGGAGGTACAGAAAAATATTCAAGAATTCAGGAATGAATTTAGGACAGAGATACAATCACTGAAGAACACAATGGAGGGTATTAAAAGCAGATTAGATATGGTAGAGATGATAAATGAAATAGAAATTATGGAGGAGGAATACAAAGCAGCTGAGGCAGAGAGAGGAAAAAAGGATCTCTAAGAATGAAAGAATACTGAGAGAACTGTGTGACCAATCCAAATGGAACAATCGTCATATTATAGGGGTACCAGAAGAAGAAAAGAGAGAAAAAGAGATAGAAAGTGTCTTTGAGAAAGTAACTGATGAAAACTTTGCCAGTCTGGGTAAGGAGACAGTCTCTCAGGCCACGGAGGTGCACAGATCTCCCAACACAAGAGACCCAAGAAGGACAACACCAAGATATATAATAATTAAAATGGCAAAGATGAAGGATAAGGACAAACTATTAAAAGCAGCCAGAGAGGGAAGTGAGATCACATAAAAAGGAAAACCCATCAGGCTATCATCAGATTTCTCAGCAGAAACCTCACAGGCTACAAGGGGGTGGCAAGATATATTTAATGCAATGAAGTAGAAGGGCCTTGAACCAAGAATACTTTATCCAGCAAGATTATCTTTTAAATTTTAAGGAGGGATTAAACAATTTTCAGACAAGCAAAAGCTGAGAGAATTTAACTCCCACAAACAATCTATCTCTACAGTGTATTTTTGAGGGACTGCTATAGATGGAAGTGTTCCTAAGGTTAAAAAGCTCTCACCAGAGGTAACAAAAAGGGACAGACAAAGAGTATATATTATGATACCTAATATATAAAGAATGGAGGAAGAAGAAAAGGAGAGGGAAAAAAAAGAAACTTTAGATTGTGTTTGTAATAGCATACTAATTAAGTTAAGTAAGACTCTTAGATAGTAAGGAAGTTACCCTTGAACCTTTGGTAACTATGAATCTAAAGCCTACAATGGCAGGAGGTACATACCTATTGATAATGACCTTAAATGTAAATGGACTGAATGCACCAATCAAAGGACATAGTCACTCAATGGATAAAAAAACAAGACTCAACTATATGCTGCCTACAACAGTCTCACTTCAAACCCAAAGTCATACACAGACTAAAAGTGAAGGGATGGAAAAAGATATTTCATGCAACTAATAGGGAGAAAAAAGCAGGAGTTGCAGTACTAGTACCAGACAAAATAGACTTCAAAACAAAGAAAGTCACAAGAGACAAAGAAGGACATTACATAATGATAAAGGGGTCAATCCAACAAGAAAATATAACCATTATAAATATCTATGCACCCAACAAAGGAGCACCTACATATGTGAAACAAATACTAACAGAATTAAAAGGCAAAATAGAATGTAATGCATTCATTCTAGGAGACTTCAACATGCCACTCACTCCAAAGGACAGATCCACCAGACAGAAAATAAGTAAGGACACAGAGGCATTGAACAACACATTAGAACAGATGGACCTAACAGACATCTATAGAACTCTCTATCCAAAAGCAGCAGGATACATTCTTTTCAAGTACACACGGAACATTTTCCAGAATAGACTACATACTAGGCCACAAAAAGAGCCTCAGTCAATTCAAAAAGATTGAAATTCTATCAACCAACTTCTCAGATCACAAGGGTATAAAACAAGAAATAAATTGTACAAAGAAAGCAAAAAGGCTCACAAACACATGGAGGCTTAACAACATGCTCCTAAATAATCAGTGGATCAATGACCAAATTAAAAGAGATCAAGCAATATATAGAGACAAATGAAAATAACAGCACAACACCCCAACTTCTGTGAGATGCAGTGAAGACAGTTCTAAGAGGCAAGTATATAGCAATCCAGGTCATTTAAAGAAGGAAGAACAATCCCAAATGAATAGTCTAAATTCACAATTATTGAAACTGGGAACAGAAGAACAAATGAGGCCCAAAGTCAGCAGAAGGAGGGACATAATAAAGATCAGAGCAGAAATTAATAAAATTGAGAAGAATAAGACAATAGAAAAAATTAATGAAACCAAGAGCTGGTTCTTTGAGAAAATAAACAAAATAGATAAACCCCTAGTCAGACTTATTAAGAAAAAAAGAATCTACACACATACAGGATCAGAAATGAGAAAGTAAAAATCATGATGGACACCTTAGGAGTACAAAGGATTATTAGAGAATACTATGAAAATCTATATGCTAACTAACTGGATAACCTAAAAGAAATGGACAACTTCCTAGAAAAATACAACCTTCAAAGACTGACCCATGAAGAAACAGAAAATCTAAACAGACCAATTACCAGCAATGAAATTGAACTGGCAATCAAAAAACTACCCGAGAACAAAACTTCTGGACTGGATGGATTCACTGCTAACTATTACCAGATATTTAGACAAGACATAATACCCATTCTCCTTAAAGTTTTAAAAAAAATAGAAGAGGGAACACTTCCAAACTAATTTTATGAAGCCATCATCACTCTAATACCAAAACCCAAGAAAGATCCCACAAAAAAAGAAAATTACAGACCAATATTCCTCATGAACATAGATGCAAAAATACTCAACAA